TTTTTTTTTTTTTTTTTTTTGGTGTCAGGAATCAAACTCAGGACCTTGCACTTACCAGGCAGGCACTTAGGCCACTCAGCTATCTCCCTGGCTCCCCAGTTTTTCTAAGTGAACAGTGATCAAAAGTTGCTATAGCATTCAGACCTTTATAGCAAGAAATGTGATGCTCCACTATCCCAGGAGGTAGAAAACTTCCTCATAGACACATCACGTGCCCAAGAGAGCTGCAGGATGGCCATGTCTTCAGTGTCTGGGCCTAGGACTTTGTACAATGCAAGAGTAGATCCCCAAAAATCACTAAAGAAAAATTATAGTGAAAGGTACATTGTCCTTGATTCCCCCCCCAGCACATGCCCCTCGATTCAACACACTCATCCCACCATTCATGCTGCCTTCTTTTCGTACATTTTTTTAGTGTATTTAGGACAGGGTCTACTGGGCTACAGGCTCTCACTACACAGCTTGGACTCATAGTGATCCTCCTGTTTTCAGCCACCCAAGTGCTGGGATTACAGGCATATACCACCACGCCCAGTCTCAATTGCTATCTCAGCACACCCCAGGGGCGGGATCGGCACAGCGCGCTGGGGATCGAACCCCGGTCACTGTCCTCTGCCTAAGCAGGCACTTTAGTCCACTGAGCTATCTGGCCGGCCCTTCATACATGTTTGTAGGACACGCAGCTTACTCTCATCTTGGGGAGTGGGTGAGTGTACGTAATACAGTTTGTTTCTTTTTATAATCCCTTTTCCTCTTTCCTTGTAATTCCCCTGCCCCTGCTTTCATCCTTGTCAGTATTACCACTCTCAGCTCACGGCTGTGACTTAGCAGTGTTTGCACTCACTGAGCCGGTCAGGTTCCTGTACAGGGCGCATCGTTATTTGTTTCCCTTCCCTTCCTTCCCCTCGCCCCTCACCCTTGGTCTCCTGTTCCCCTTCCCACTTGAAAGAGATCCATCTTCTTCTCTCCTTCTATCCATCCTTTACCGTTTGTACTTTGCCTTATTCCTATGAGAGATATCATCAGGTATTTAAGCTTGTGCGTCTGATGTATTTCACTTACCATCATATTTTCCAGGTACACTTTCCTAAAGATGTCTCAGATTCATCCTGCATTACGGCTGAGCAGTATTCCATTATGTGCAGGTAGCACATTTTCCTTGTCCAGTCATCCACTGAGGAGTACACAGGCTGCTTCCAGGATTGAGCTATTACGATTTATGCTTCTGTAAACATCGGGGATGCATGTAGTGCTGGAATAGGACACCTTCTGCTGTTTTGAGGAAGATGTCTAGAAGGGAACACCTGGGTCACATTGATCTTTTTTTTTTTTTTTTTTTTTTGGTACCTCGGATTGAACTTGAGACCTTACACTCACCAGGCAGGCACTTAGGCCACCGAGCTATATCCTTGGCCTGAATGTCTAACTTTAGTCCTTTGAGAAAGTCCTCGTTTCTGTGATGGTTGTCCTAGTTTACATTCCCACCAGCAATGTAGAAGGAGGGTTTCTCTTTCAACACAGCCACACCAGCATTTGTTATTTTTTGACTTAGAGATAATTGCTATTCTCTCTGGTATAATTTGCAGTTGTTTTGATTTGCATCTTTCTAACAGCCAATGTCTTTGTTACTTTTCCCGCATTGCTGAGACAAAACACCCAACACTCAAAGTGAAAGGGCGGAAAGGTTCCTTGAGTTCACAGTTTGGAGAGGTATCAGTCCGTAGTTGGCTGTCGCTGAATAGTGTGCCACTACTCTCAGAACCAACCTGCTGGTTGGGTGGCACAAGGCAAGGTGGCACGTGGCAAAGGAGCAACCATTCATGGTGACAGAAGACAGCAAAAATAGCAAGAGAGGCCGAACAAGCCTCTCTCTGTCCCTTATATCCAGTCCACCAGGATTAGGGCAGGGCCAGTCTTATCAGTAGGCTAACCCAGCTATTACCCACCCTTAATCCCAGGACCTTTAATCCCAGCATTGAGCTATCAATCAGTCATACATTCTAGACTTAACCACCTCCAAAACCCCTACAATTACATGAGACTTTTGGGGGAACATTGAAACACAAACCATAACAACCAGAGACACTGAACAGTTTCCATATATATGTCAGCCATTTGTGCTTTTTCCTCTGAGAGGTATCTGCTCACTTAACCTCCCTATTTCTCAATTGGATCTTTTATTTTAGGTGGTCTAATTGTGTTTTGTTCTCTATACATTTTAGGTATCAGTTCTCTGTTTGATGACTAGCTGGCAAAATTTTTCCCATTCTTTACGTTGCCTCTCCACTCTGTTAATTGATTCTTTTGCTGTACAAAAGCTTTTTAATTTGATGTAATCCCATACGTTGGTTCCTGCTGTTATTTCTTGTGCAATTGAGCTTGTTCAGAAAACCCTTTCCTATATCTGTGACTCCAAGTGTTTTTACCTATCTCACCTTCCAGTAGGTTTACCGTTTAGATCTTTGATTCATTTTAATTTTAGTTTAGTACATTGTGAGAGACATGGGTCCGGTTTCAATCTTCTATAGACAGATACCCAGTTTTCCAGCAGTACTTGTTAAGTGTGCCATCTTTCCTCCTGCTGTTGGTCCCTTTGTCGCAGATCAAATAGCTGAGCGTGCCTGGGGATGTCTGTGCATCCTCTGTTCTGTTCCACTGATCCACACGTCTGTTTCTGTTCCAGTACCATGCCGTTTTTATCACTGTTGCTTTGTGGTATAGCTTGAAATCAGGTAATGTAACAGCTCCTGCTTTGTCCTTCTTACCTGAGATTGCTCTTGCTGTGCTGGGTCTCTTCCGTGTTCCGTACGAAGTTTAGGATTATCTTCTCTGCCTGTGAGGCAGGCTGTTGGTACTTTGATTGAGACTACATTGAATCTGTTTAACAGTTTTTAGGAAAACAGTTGTATTGACAGTACTGGTATTCTAATCCCAGAGCAGGGGGGACACCTTCCCATTTCTCATGTCCTCATTCTGAGGTTTTTGTCACTTCCTGCAGCTGACCTCGTTCATGAGTGTCCTTAGTTGCCCGGTCATGGCTGCCTCAATATCCTGAGTCAATTCAAAACACGTACTTGTCATGGTCATTTTGATTTTGTGGAAACGCCAGTTCCACGGTGCCCGATCCAGGGACTCAGGTGGGTGAGGACGCACTGCCGTGTTTTGAAGAGCCTGCTTTTCTGTCAGATGGCACGCCGTGGCAGTGTGCGCTGTATTTTTGATCACATATCATAAAGACACTCAAGAAAAAAAGACTTCCAGAATTGTTTCAGAAAGTGGCAAGAGGGGCTGGTGAGATGGCTCAGTGGTCTAAAGCACCTACTTAGAACAAGCTAAGCTAAGCAAAGCACAGGGACCGCGGTTCAATCCCCAGCACCACATGCCAGCCAGCCCCGCCCCCTGGTGGGTTAAGCTGGCCACACAGACAAAATAAATAAATAAATAAATAAATAAATAAATAAATAAAAGAAAGTGGCAAGAGGGGCCGGGGAGATGGCTCAGTGGAATAAGCGCTTCCCTGGCAAGCGCAAGGGCCTGAGTTCAATCCCCGGTTCCGCCAAAAAAAAAAAAAAAAGAAAAAAGAAAGTGGCAAGAATGATAGGATAAATGGGTTTGAAGTGAGAGGGGGTGTTTTATGGCTGTGGATCTTTTACCATAATAATTTTTTATTTAAACACAACGTGGTTTGTTGTTTTTTGTTTTTTGTTTTTTCACCAGCCTCTGTAGAGCTAAAAGACCTCCCCAAATGAAATGAACCCAGCTGGGGAGATGGCTCAGTAGAATAAGCACTTCCCTGACAAGCGCAAGGGCCTGAGTTCAATCCCCACTTCCGCCAAAAAAAAAAAGAAATGAAATGAAATGAACCCACTCTCCAGATGGCCAGCTTTCTCTAAAACCTCCAGGACCATAAGAGGCTGGGTTTCGGCACATTCCCAAGTGCTGCCCATCTTCAGCACTGAGACGCCTTTAGGCTCTCTGGGCCCTCAGAGATGCTGCCCCTTGCGAACATACCTGACTGCCCACCCCTCTGTCCTGCCAAGGAAGCTCTCATTGCTTCTAAAATTCAGAGATGCAAGAGGCCTGTGCTGCAGCAGCGGCGGGGCAGTCCCAAGCGGCACATGGTCACTTTGCCTTCCTGGCCTTGTTGCTGGTCTCTCGGACTGTACTATGCCACACGTTAGCCAGCACTGCCCAGCTCTGAACTCGAGTTTGCAGGAGTAAGTTGGAGGAAGGAGGAGGAAGAGAGTGGCCTTATTCCTTTGACCTAGGAATGCACAAGCAGAAGTACCACTCCCAGTGACAACGCCAGTGCTCTTGGCCAGCTGCCAAGGGGGACAGAGCATGGCCAACACCAAGCTTTACAGACCAGACCACCCTGAGGACCCTGGGCTCTGCTTCCTGTCATCAGGGACCACTTTCTCTAAGCCTTTCTCCTCCCAGAGCGGCAGCACATCTGCCCCTTCTCCAAGGCCCAAGCCAGCACCTAATGGCTGTTCTCTGGCTGTTCCTATCCCCTAGGATGACAACCGATACCATGAAGATATTTTTGGAGTCACCCTGCGCACCTATGAAGTGACCAACCGCCTTAGATCTGAGTCCATTGCCTTCATTGAAGAGAGCAAGAAAGACACGGATGAGTAAGCCGCCTCCATCTCTCCAGCCGGGGCTGGGCGGGGCCTTCTCTTAAGTCTGGGGGACAGGGACAGCTGGCTTTCCCATGGGGGCATGGCTTCCCTAGGCCAGCAAAAGCCAGGGCAACCTGTGGACCCCATCGAAATGCAAATCCCAGGCTGACACAGGCCTGTTGAATCTGAACCTCAAGAGTTAGGGAGCGGCAATTAAACATGTTAACAATCTCTCTCAGCTGGGCATGGTAGCACACACCTATAACCCTAGCAGTTAGGGAGGCTGAGGCAGGAGGGCCACAAGTTCAAGCCTAGCCTGGGCAACTTTGCAACTTAGCAAGACTCTGTCTCAAAATAAAAATATAAAGAGCCAGGGATATAATTCAGAATGTAAATCCTGGCTTCAAACCTCAATTTATAAAAAGCCCCCTGGGTGATCTGAGCTCTTGGAATATGGGACCCCTTGCTTTAGTCACTGGCGTCCTGCTGTGGCTGGGGCGCCCCCTAGTGGAATGAGAGCCACTGGGCCCTGCTATCACACTTTCATCAACTACCCCCACCCCACCCCCCAAAAAGAAAGAAAACCCAGGAGGGCTTTCTTACTGGCTCAAATTATAATCCCAAAGATTTGGACAACTTCATCCATCCCATAGACATTTCTGGAAGCAGCCTGAGGCACCACGAGATGGGAACAGAGTCCCTACGTAAACCTCACCTCATCTCTGTGACACAGGGACCCCTGCTGCAATCTCACCTACCAGCGCCCTTCCTGTCCCCTGTCGCATGCCTGTTCCCTTAAAGCAGGTCACCACCCAGCTGCCTCCTCCTCTGTAGTACAAGGGATGTGCTCATTTTCCAGATCAGCGCCCTTGTCTTTTTAAGACAACACATCTACCCCGACACACAGGTTGTAGCCTAGCGCGATGGTACACGCCTGTCGTCCAGCAATTGGGAGGCTGAGGGTGGTGGGTTCGAGTCCCACCTGGGCAACTTAGCAAGAGTTTGTCTCAAAATAGAACGTAAAAGGGGCCTGGATGATGTAGCTCGGAGGTAGGGAGCCTATGGGTTTGATCCTCAGTACCACAAAAACAACAGTGTCCCCTGGGCTCGCGTAATTGACAATCACTCCTCCCTCGATTGTCAGAAGTCCCGTTCCTGTCCAGTTGTGTTGGGAACCTTCAGACCCTGACAACACGCTCAGGCCACCTCAGATCACCTGGCTGCTGCAGCTCTAATTCTGTCCCTTCTCCCCCAACAGGGTTTTCAGCTCCTAAGTGAACCCTGTTGCCCAGAGGGATGGCAGGCGGCACCCCAAGTGCCCCAGAGGGGGTGGCCGCAGCTTTTCTAAGTGGACACACGGCTGACCCTTTCCTCCGGGACCCCGTGCGGCCCCCCTCCGCCTCTCGTCCTGTCGCTGTGTCCTGGTTTCCCTCTTCGGGGTTCCGCCCCTCCGTGGTGTCCTCAGGTCTCCTGGGTTTTCTCCTCAAGTTCTCCTGCTGCAGTGTGATGCCCTTCTGACCCGCAATGGCTCCTACACAACCGCGCCTCCCCGCTTGCTGGCTGCCCAAGGCAAATCACGGGTGCATGAAACCAGTGGATAGTGGCCACCGCTGCTGTTAGGGCTTGTCCTGGGGGAAGGGGGCCACTGGAAAGGCTTCGGGCGCTGGACAGAAGGCTGAGCCAGTCTCTGCCGCTCTGTCCCCCAGTTCTTTCTTGGGATGGCATTTTGGTCATGTGTGCGCATCTGTGCGTGTGGCCAGCCTGGCTCTCTACTGATGCCAGTGTCCCTAAAACACTGGAACACCCCCTAACTGTCCTGGTAGAAGGCCAGGAAAGAGGAAGGGGATAGGAAGATTCAGGGGAAGAGCTCCCTGCAAGAGAGAATCACAGAATTGGATGAGTTTAGGTTTGCGTGCTGTTCATGTCCTCCCTGGGAAGCGAGCCGCTGCCCAGCCAGGGGCCCCTGACACAACCACACTCATGGACGCTCCCCAGGCATCCACCTGCAAGGCCCAGAATGAGTGCTATCTGGAAGGAAGGATCTTCTCACTGTGCCACCGGAGACCTGGGATGAGTCTCTTGTCCTCAGTTTCCCCTAGTCGTATTATGAACCTAAAGAATATGCGTGAACTGGCCATTCCTACTGTGGAGCCTGGGAGGAATGAGTGTCCAGGAGGGAGGTGATTGCTACAGTTCCATTCAACCAGGTGGGGCTTGTTGATTCAGCCCTGAGCTAAGATAACCAAAGCCAGTAAAAGGAATCAGGTGCAAGCAGGACGTGGCAACACGCACCATGACCCCAGCACTCCAGGAGGCTGAGGCAGGAGGGTGGCAGTTTCAAGCCCAGCCTGGGCAACCAACAGGCTCAGTGAGACCCTGTCTCAAAATTTGAAAAAGGACTGAAAATGTAGCTCAGTACAAAAGCTCCAAGTTCAATCCCAGTACCACAAATAAAAGAGGTGTGAGGAACCACGTTGAAAAAAATACCCCAAAGGGAACCCCCTCTGCAGGTGGGAAAAATATGGTTCACAAGGGCAACCCTTTCACATTGATCTCCTTGTTCTGCTAAAAGGCTTTTAACAAACACCCTTGATTCATCCAGAAAACAGGCAGTGGAATCTTCAGTGGGAATTGGGGCCAATGTAGTTTCTCTCTCAGCAGCCTGCTGGATTTATCCTCTCAGAGAAATTGGGATGGAAAGATCCAGTCTACAGGTAAACATTAAAACGGAGTATCAGGCAACACCCAGAGAAAGCCAAGAAGTCCTGTGACGCCCTGCCTTGGAGGATGGAAATCCATGTAGTGTCCCTTGTTTTGTTTTGTTTTGCTTTATTGGACAGACTGTTTTCCTTCATGTGCTGTGCACAGGTTTCCTTCCTTGTGCTCAATGAGGGGCCTGCCAATGAGAAGCTGCCCTTGCCCCCACAAGAAGGGGTTGACATCCGGGTACCAACATCCTAAGGGCTCCACCCCCAAGATTCTTAAAGGTCAAACCGTGTCTTTTTTTCTTCTTTCACCGGCGGCCCACTGCAGTCCCGGCCTTGACATGGTGAGTTGGCCCCAGCTACAGTGTCGCCTGCCTTCCTTTAGTCCTAGTTTTCCTGCTCAGTCCCCCACAGATAGACTAAGCCTTCAGCACCCAAGGTGTTGACCCTGCCAAGCTGAAGGGAAGCCACCTGTAACCGCCTCCTCTCCTGCCAACAGTTCGGGCTCCCAGAAACTTTCCTACCAGGTGCTTTCTTCTCAAATTTTTGAACCTTTGGGGACGCTTTCTAAGATGTCACCACTTCCCCGGAACTGAACTGCTGTGTCCAACCTCCATCAAAGAGGAATCGATTTGAGCCCCCCTCTGCAAATCAAGCTGTCTGCTAGAAAGGTTTCCACTGCTGAATAAGGAGTGCTTACTGCGTGCCAGGCAGCCCCCTCCAGCCGCAGGTGGAAGCCTCCTTTCATTTGTCACAGTCCAAAGAAATGACTGTATAGCTATACAACCAGGCTTCTTCTTTCCTCCCAAGCAGGCCTTTTTCTTTTTAAGTAGACCTTTCATCTCCTGCCACAAGCTGCTAGAATACAGAAGGCCAATCTGATACATCTCTTTCATTTGCCAGGATTCCTGGTACCAGCAAGCTGGGCTGTCCTAAAATTCCCATCCTGATGCAAAGACAGGTTGGAGTTTAGCGCTGAAGAAGGGTGGGTAAATACTGCCCTCTGCTGGTGGATTTTAGTTCGCTCCATTACCAGCAATAGGCAAAAACGCATGGTTAGGAATTGCAGTAAGAGGGTACCCTGGATATTTGGGAGTTGCCTGCCCGCATTTATGCAGATGGCTGCGAACTGGCTACCTGCCCTTTCCAGCTGCAGACCCGCCTGTCTAGCGAGGTGGATTGGCTGAGGCAAGGCCCAGTTACAATGTCCAGCCCAAAGGCTAACCCAGTTCTCACGTTCACTTACTGCATCACACAATCTTATTCCTCTGGGGTGTGGAAGGCACCGCGGTATAGACAGAGAAAAAGGAAACACAGTCGTGTCCCTGCAGAAGGTTAGAATCCGGTGGGTAGAGATGCCCTTCTCAGAACTGATGCAGATGTCTGGGGTCTGAGGAGTGGGTGGGATTTCACAGGTAGACTTTGGAAGGGGAGAACTTGGCAGGGAGTGGATGGAATGGGGGAGAGTGGGTGAGTCAGAGCTGGATTGGAAGGCTGCAGATGGGGGCAGGGAAGCGCACAGCAAGGATGGCTGGGAGCCAGGCAGAGAGAAAGCAAATATCAAGGGATTCAGACTTTAATTAGTAGGGAACAGGGAGTCCTTGTGGGTGGTTTGGTTTGGTTTGGTTTCATGGTACAGGGGGTCAAACAGGCAATCTACCACCTTTTTTTTATTTTTTTATTTTGAGATAGAGTCTCACTGAGTTGCCTAGGCTGGTTTCAAACTTGAGCTTTTCCTGCCTCAGCTTCTACAGTGCTGGTATTATGGGCGTGTGCCACCACAACTGGGATCGTAAGGGTACCTTTGAAAGGGGGATTAAGGTGGCAGAAGTTGTGCTTGGATCTGGCCTTAGTCTGGAGGATATGAGTGGCTCTCTGCTGTGGAGGAGAGTAGGCGGGAGGGGCCAATAGATTCTGGGGGCTCAATCTGAGAACCTGAACCCATCCTGTAGAGAGTGACAACCGTGAAATCTGAGTCTTGCCTGTATTTGAGAAAGGAGCCTGGTCATAAAGGACAGCCCCAGGGAAGGTGGATTTCTGGGGGTGTAAAGGCCAGCTCCTCCGAGAGCTCAGGGTGACATCAGCCAAGGTCCCGCCTAGTCTAGATCCACAGAAAGCAAAGTGACCCCCAGTCCATAGACGCTGCTCTAAGAACACGGGGTTCTCCTGCCAAACCCTGTGCAGCCACCTGCTTCAGGCTTCCAAGGAGGTCAGGATTTGCCCTAAGCCAAGAGAAGCGTCCTGACCCAGATCAGTGAGGGAGGTGCCTGCCAAGCTGGGCAGGCAGACATCTAGGCCCCTCCCCCTGTGAGGTATGGGCTCAAAGCGCAGCCCTCCTGGCCAATGGAGAACCATGAGCTTCTACATTGTGTTCCAGTTGGCCACGTGTGCCTAGCTCATCTGAGTGGGCCTTGCTTTCCAAAGCCTCAACATGAATGCACTCCACAGACATGGGCTTGGCCTGTGGAGACCGATGCTGCCCTGGCCTTTCACTCCTCACCTCTCCTCATCCACTGCCAGCCACTCCCCCGCCCCAGTGACAGAGGACCCAAGAGGAAAAGTTAACTCTCTCCAAACCTTGCTTCATCTGAAATGTGAGAATCCCGGTCCCTTCTAGCCATCTGTTTTCAGTTGCAGGTTGATCATCCCTAATCTCAAAATGCAAAATGCTCCAAAATTTAAAACTTTTTGAGCACCACAATGACACCCACAAGTGGGATCATTTTATGCTCAGAACCACTTAAAATGTTGCAGGGCTGTGGGTACAAGAAGCATAAGTGAATTGCGCATCTACATCCGAGTCTCGCCATGGGTCCCATTGCCAAGGTAGCTGCATCATAAACATTGCCAAACCCAAAAATTCCAAAATCAGAAATACTCCTGGTCCCAAGTATTTCGGCTAAGAGACACCCAACCTGGAATACTTGGAAGGGAGGTGGCCAGGAGTCTGAATGCCTTAGTGTGTTTATGGGTATATTTTGTCCTCAAGTACCTGTTCTGAGGTCAGTAGGACATTGGATACACCCCAGTCATTAACATGGTGGCCCTGGCAGGCAGAGGCAAATGTGCCTTAATGCATTGTCTTTTGGACAATGACCCTGGCATTGAAAGTGCCCAGATTTGGTCCCTAACCTGCAGGTGACTCTAGCCCAGGACCTGGAAACTCCAGTGTTGTTGGCAGTTGGAGCTGGGTTGTGCTTTGTCGTGGGGACTGTCCCCATACTATAGGATGTCGAGCAGCACTGTGGCCTCCACTACTAGATGCCAATTGAGACAAACAAGTCACCAGACAATGCCCAGTGTCACCTTGGGGGCAGAAACTACACACACACACACACACACACACACACACACACACACACACACATTCCTTGGGTAAGAACCATTGCTGTTGGGCTTGAGGAACAAGAGAACGCTTGCCGGCCACCCTAGGGCTTCTCACGGTAGGGCTTTCCTCCACCGGTGGTGGTTCCCTTTATCTGCCACCACTCTAAGACCTAAGGGACTTTCAGGGCAGAGAATAGTATGGTCTCACATACCCCGCCCAAGCCAGAAGGATGGCTGATGTTCCTTGGATAAGACGCTGTGTCCTCAATGTTGACTCTAACAAAGGCCCCTGGGCGTACTGCCCTCCCTCTTGGTCTGAGGCTCCTGGCACCCTGCACTCTGCCTCCACCTTCCTTGCTGTTATATTGTCACTGTGACTGTAAGACCCACTCCAGGCCCAGCGAGCAGGACTGGTGGCTCCTGTGGCTGTCCCCATGGGTGTCCATTCTGGGGATGGGGAAGTTGGTGAGGTGGGCGGAGCCGGGGTCCTATCTCAGCACGCACGCGCTGTCCAAAACTCAGATGTCCCCCAGCTCTGAGCTCTTGATGCTGCTAATTGCTACCAAGTGTCCTGTGTGCTCCAGAACCTTCTTCCAAGGACCGACGCCCACCCCAAGCTCCTGAGAGGTTGCCCAGGCTCCATTGGCCGCATGCTCTTCTTCTGTATAGTTCTCATCTTCTAATTTTATGGGATTCAACAAAAGTCTATTTATGCCTGTTTGCATTATGGTTAAAATATTAAAAAGTGGATTCCACTCGGTTGGCTGTGGTTTTTGGTTGCATGTGCTGGGAATTTCTCACACCTTGGTGGGCTGTCACAGTTGGGTCCCCTGAGAGTCACAGAGTTGGCTGGAGGCTGATAAAGGGGGTGCCCTTGGGTAGGGAGAGGAAGTCCAGGTGGTCACCAGAGGCCCAAGCTGCCACACTGTCTCAACAGAGGCGTCAGCCAGCCATGCAGGGAGTTCTAGAGGTGACCTCGAGTTGGGGTGCCGCTCAGTAGCAGAGCACTTAACTATCCAGACGTAGAGCCCTGAATTCCATCCCCAGCACTGCAAAATAAATAATAGATAACAAAGCTGACCCATCAGGGGTGTCCTGATTCCAGACTTGGGTTTGGTTTTGTTTCGTTGTTATTTATTTTCAGTACTGAAAATTGAATCTAGGGTCTTTGCCCTGAGCTATGTTCCTAGCCCTGTTTGTTTGTTTGTGACACAAGGTCTCCCTAAGGCACTAAGTTGGCCAGGCTAGGCTCAAACATGTGGCCTCCTGCCTCAGCCTTCCAGGGCTTGTAGCCATATCGTCTGAGCTCAACTAGAAGGCCAGGCTC